CTCCACACCCCAGGTCTGCCCTGCCCCCTTCCTTTAAAATGAATCAGCTCTGCTGTGAAGAAGTCAGATAATCACACAATAGAAAAGGGCTTAACATGAACAATGCAAATTCACAGCTCATTTGAGTAAGAAAGTGTTTGTGGAGTGTGTGTGTGTGTGTGTGTGTGTGTGTGAGAGAGAGAGAGAGAGATTCCTGGGGAATAAAATGATGGACATTAACGGTCTGAATAAGGATTGTTCATTCTTCTATAGTTGTAGTGCTTTACAACTTTACAGTGACAATCTGAATATCTACATTCAAATTATGATCACTAATGAATTTGGATATTGTGACTAAATGACTATTGCATTGTTTTGCATGCTTTATTAAAGCTCTATGGGACCAGGCCTATTATTAAAACAAAACATAACAATAGCTTAATCAGGCCTCTCATGTCAGATGATACACGGCAATGTCTCTATAATCGTATCCCCAGGCTGTTAGAAATAGCTGAACCTATTCAACTCGATGTGGGATCCAATCAGCAGCAATTAAATCTCCTGTGTAAATCCATTGTTAGTGTTGTGCATCTTTTAATACAGATAATGAAATAATTAGGTCTCAGGTGGTCTCGAGATGTTGCGGAGCATCTGCGTCACTAACAATGAAATGAGCTGCATCGCATAATTTTTCAGAGCTGGCAAACCTCCCAAATAAATGGGAAGAAACACTGGTAATAGCTTCAAAAACAGGCTGCCCATGTGATGCCCTCAAGCAATGTACTCTTGCATGGTGCTTTTTTTCCCCAATTGCCTGTGGGTTTGGGATATTTGCTAGTTAGCTTTTATTTAGCATTGTCAACCACAGTGTCTTTCAGTACACTAATTTTAGTGTCTGCCTGAAGCGAACAAGACCTGAGAGCCTTGTTTAAAAACCAAAACAGAGCAGGATTGTGCAGTGTTTAGTTCCCTAATCAGTGCTTTTGATGGAGTCACTGTTTTATGCTCATTGCAATCAATGAAAATGAGAGATTTTGTTGTATAGATCATTATTAATATGGAAAATATTAATGATATCATGAAATAGTTCACTCAGAAATGTGTTGAAAATGTACTCACCCTCAGGCCATCCAAGATGTAGATGAGTTTGTTTTGTCATTGGAACAGATTTGGAGAAATTTAGCATTACATCACTAGCTCACCTATGGATCCTCTTCAGTGAATGGGTGCCGTCAGAATGAGAGTCCAAACAGCTGATTAAAACATCACAATAATCCACAAGTAATCCACATGACTCCAGACCATCAACTAACGTATTGTGAAGGGAAAAGCTGCATGTTTAAAACCATCATGCAAAACCGGTCCAAACCAGTTCTAAACAAATATGTGGGTGGATTTTGATGTGAGAGGACAACAGGAGATGGACTTTTTCACTGAAGGATGTTATTATAAATTATGGACACACATTTTGACCATGAAGCAGTGATTTAATGTTAAAACACCTTAATAATGGATTTGTTTCTAATAAACACACAGCTTTTTGCTTCACAAGGCATTAATTGATAGACTGGAGTCGTTATTGTGATGTTTATATCAGCTGTTTGGACTCTCATTCTGACAGCACCCATTCGCTGCAGAGGATCCATTGGTGAGCAAATTATGTAATGCTACATTTCTTTAAATCTGTTCTAATGAACAAACAAACTCATCTACTTCTTGGATAGCCTGAGGGTGAGTAAATGTTAGAAAATGTTCATTTTTGGGTGAACTATTCGTTTAAGCCAGCCATTGCTGTTTTCCTTTCGGTTAATAACTAATGAAGAATATATTTATACCATCATGAGTCAGACTGATTTTGATCTGGCTCTCTTAGACGAAGCTGTTAGAACAGTAGCTTGCAGAGCGGAAACAGCAATGCCTGATTACACAACAATTGTGAAACATGGTCAGAAAAAATAGTAGGGAAGGGGAAGAGAAAAATGTTTACTTGCAAACTTAATTTAGCATATCATCTGGATGATTATGCAACTACTGCTGGTGCATCAAAATGACGTGACGTACTTCTATATAAACTGATTGACATCTTCACAATATTTGCAAATTAGTACGTTGAAAATGGGAAGATGCTGAAACCAGAAGCTGTGTCACCATGGCAACCGTTTCAGTAAGTCACAGCACGAGGGAGGCTCGAGGGTTCTAATGTTGTAGTTGAGATGCTACCTTGTGCAGTGCAATGTAAATCTCTCAGAATGAGTGCATTATGGCAGGATGAAATATCTGGACGTTTTCCCATGCAGATGGAAGTCAGATGCTGATGGGGTTGTGGCACAGGTAAAACTGGAAGACAGTCTCACTTTAAGACCGGAACTGAATAGGCCTTGCATGTTGTCTACTAACTAGAGCAATATTGTGGCACCAGATGGGCATGTTGGAAGGTTCTTTATACAATCTAACTCAGGGGTTTTCAACCTTTTAGGACATGCACCCCCCCAAGTTTGTCTAATTTCACTCGCGCCCCCCCAACATCCAACACCCCCCCCCCCTCCTAATTGATACTCAAAACTCGCCCAAAACTACCAAACGCGGCAAGTGTTAAAGTAGCCCAATTCCGCGGGAAAACCGCAGACTTGGCAACACTGAGCATAACTGATACTCGAGCAAACTCTGCTCTAACTGTCGACTAGCAGTGGGAGTCAGATTTCCCCCTAGTGGATGGCTAAAGATTTGTTAACTCGTATTCATAAATTCTCAAGGGAACGTCTCTGAATTAACTGATGCTCGCGCCCCCCTTGACAGTTGCTGGCGCCCCCCTGGGGGGGGGGGGGGCCCCACAGTTTGAAAACCCCTGATCTAACTAAACACATTTACAGAATCAGAGCCTTAGTATGTGGTCATTCTGTATAAAAACACAAATGTCTTTACTACCTGTGATATACAGGAAGTACTGCCTTTGTGTTCTTTATAGATTGCCAGATACATACAGTAAATCAGCTTTTGTTCAGCATCACTCAGATGAAGGCGATTTAATTTTTTTAATACTATTAATATCTACAGGCATGCCACATGAGGTCATACAGACATTGTTGCTGAAGGAATGATTGACATCTTTCACAATATAAACCAATTTAAACAGCAATGCAATGCCAACAAATATAATTTTCAGTATGAAATGTTGGTTCTATTTTGCTAAATATTTTCCTGCCAGTTGTTGATTATCACTGTGTAAAAAGGCAGATTAATGTTTTTCCGGATGTTGTTTTGTCAAGCTTTATTCCTGCCTCACCCTCTCCTCCTCTTGGACGCTAAATTACTAATCTTACTACGACGAAGGCTCGGCTAATGAATATGAATTTATTCATGCTTACGTTGCTTAGTAACCTTCCTGAACGCCCTAGTGTAATATTCATGAGCCACGCCTTAAGGATTCGATAGCGATAGGACGTCGGCGCTTCAGCCAATCATCGGTTACTTCGCTAATATTCATAAGTCAAACTATGAAGGTAGAATGACGTCAAAAAGATTTGCATACGCAGGGTAATATTTGTGGAAGTGTACATAAGACTCTAAGCGTAAATTTAATTTGCATGCGCAAGAGAAGCTTTGTAAAGGTGTAAATCGTGTTTCAAGCGCAAGAAAAAATTATTTGCAGCATTTTACTGTTACTCGTAAGTGTAATTCATGTATTGTGAAACTGCAGCTTCATGCTAACGCAAAATAAATATGATCTGCATGCTTCTGACTTCCATGTTTCCGCGCTTACACTTTTGGCACATTTTTTTCGCCAAAAGACGGTCAAAAGCACTGCAAGCCTGTGAACAGTGATTTGCAAGCAAAAACAACAGTTTAAAGAACTGCAAAACGGATTGACTGCATAGAACCGATCTGTATGTGTAAAAAACTAACTGTTGCAAATGTCTAAATGACTTGTTGTGTATGTGGGGCAAAAAGTTCCCGAAATAAACCGATATGTACAGCTCCGTCTTTCTTTTCTCTGCGCTTACAATTTTGGCACGATTCTCTCACTAACTGAGTTTTGCAAGCGTGAGGGGGAGGGCGGGGCCACCTTCTTCTTGTAGCCAATCAAATGAGCCTCTCGCTGACTCTCCAGTTACTCTTATCTGATTGGTCCAATAAACACATCGTACCCAAGACATTAATCTTCATTTAGTTCAGGATCCTCCCAGACAGTCTTGTTTAGTTCTTGCCGGTAGAATCCCGGTCTTGTCGACATCTCTTCCGTTTAAAATGACGCTCTTTATTACTAAACTGTCAGTAAAACATTAACGCATCCACCAGAGAGATATATGCTCATGTGTGGAGGCAGCAGGCTTTAGTCCCTCTTTTTGCCAGAAATGGGAGGAACCGTCTGTGATGCGTGTGTGTGTGTGTGTGTGTGTGTGTGTGTTAGAGAGAGACAGAGATGGGGGATGGGACAGGCAGTGGAAATAATTCAGTTTAGGCTATTAAAATAAATAATAATAATAACAACATCAACAATAATATATTTTGTTATTATTATTAGTGTTATTTTGTTGTTGTTGTTGGTAATAATAATAATAATATAAATGTATACGCCTGTTATCATGACAAATCTAAAATAAATTATTATCTTTAATTTTAAAAAATCATCTTATCAAGAAGGCAATACAGAAAGCCGCAAACTGACCAATGTTTACTAGCTTTATTTATTAGTCATCTCAATATAAACTCACAAAGACTGAATGCTGAAAAACATTGAATGAAAATGGTATGAAAATAAACAGCAAATAATTTATCTATTACAAGTATAAATGCCACCAATAAAACTTTATATATTTGGATGTGATTAATCGTTTGACAGAACTAAATATATATATATAAGAAATATTTTGTAATAGTATCTTTTTCAAGTTCGTACCTACAAACAGGGCTACATATTACTATAACTTAAGAAACAAAGAAAAAAATGTTTATCATAACTCATGACTGTTCTGTGATTACCAGCAACCGACTCAAGTTAGGAAACAGCTTCATCTAGTGTTTCATCCCTGATAAGACATGACAAAAGAAAATTATTTTAGGCTTTAGACACTTGCAGACTCTATTGAACACTGAGCATTCAAAAAACACAAGAGTGCATGCAATCAAAAAGCTGATTACATTAAACCAGGACGAGAAACTGACCTGACAGATGAAAGGCAGGCGCTCATGGCAGCAAGCATCCATCCATCCAAACCTGTCCTGTTCTTCCTTAAGAAGTTTTCCACAAAACATGCTCACTGGGTGCTTTGGAAACTCTTGATGCCATGATGCATACTCCACATACGGCCCACTGGTCCACAGCCAGGGCGAACAAATGAAGAGCATACTCCGTTCAAGCCCGATCCACACTCCATCAGTGATTGCTTTATCCTGCAGCATCTGTGTGATGTACTCGTGTGCCATGGCATTTAAAATGTGCGCCAGTGTCTGGTGGTGAGTTTTGCAGTATCCTAGTGCATCAATCCAGCTTTTTGAATCATTGATATAGGTATAGCTGTCTGAAATAGACATTAAACAAAATTTCTGTCATTTTACTATAATATTATAATAGGTCATGATGAAAGTTACTTTAGTCCAGTATATAAACAAGGACTAGTAATGTTCTGGATGGCAGTGTAATCAGCCTCATTTTTATGTATGTATTTGACTCACATTGGCAGATGACTCCAGCATCTTTATAATGATTGCAGTTCTGTACGTCCCATCCAGGAGATCTACATCTCTTTAGAGTTTGCTCATTCCCATAACAATTTACATTATTCATCCATATTGGTCCTGAGCCATTCCCAAAAAAAGCACCTTTTCTTGCCTCTATAGCATCCCCACATCCCATCTCTCTACACACCACTGCAGCGTCTGTTAGATCCCAGCCATCATCACACACTGTTCCCCATATTCCATTATGAAGAACCTCCACTCTTCCAGAGCAAGAGCTGGAACCATTCTGCAGTCGAAGTTTGGCTAATAAACAATAAATGAACAGGTCAGGAAGGTTGATGACACCAGTCTGAACTCTTAAAAATGAAGGTTCTTTATTTGGCATCCGTGGTTCCATGCAGTATCTTTACCATCCATGGAAACTTTTCATTCCACTAAAGGTTCTTTAGATTATTAAAATGCTCTTTGCACTAAAAAAAATAAAAAATGGTCTTTAGGAAATTTTAGGAAAAATCTTTTAGAAACTGTTTAGGAATGGTTCTTTGAGAAATGAAAAATTGGTCTTCTATGACATTGCTGCGAAAACCCCTTTTGTAGAGACAGACATAAATTTGCTTTTATTCATTGTTTGCATATTACTGACATTAACAATTATGTTAAGAAATGCAGCGGTATTGAAGTATTATGTCAGGCAGTAGACCTTTATAATGCAGCGTTATTCACTTACGTCCACAGATAACACCAGCATCTTTTTCATGGTTGCAGTTTTGTTGAACTCTTCCGCTTAATACACAGTTCTTCAGTGTAGACTCTGTTCCATTACAATTCACATTATTCATCCATACTCGTCCTGATCCTTGTCCAAAATGAGCAGCTCTCTTTACGTCTGTCACATTCCCACATCCTATCTCTCTACACACCACTGCAGCATCTGATGCATCCCAGCCATCATCACACACTGTTCCCCACATTCCATTGTGGCGAACCTCCACTCTTCCAGAACATGAATGAGTGCCATTGACCAGTGTGACAGGAGCTGAAGCACACGGCAAAAGAAACAAAATGGTTTTATGTCTTTAAAAATGGGCTGAATGAACAAAATCATATTAAAAGGATTGTTTAAAGTGTTATGACTCACGCTGACAGATGACTCCAGCAGCTTTAATACTACTACAGGAGGCAATTCCATATGATCTGCAGCTCTTCAAAGTAGATTCTATCCCAGTACATTGTACAGTATTCATCCACATTTGTCCTGGTACTTGGTCAAAATAAGCACGGCTTGCACCTATGACACTCCCACAGCCCAGTTCTCTACACACCACTGCAGCGTCTGTTAGACCCCAGCCATCATCACACACTGTTCCCCACTGACCGTCACGAAGAACCTCCACTCGTCCAGAACAGGAGTTGTCACCATTTACCAACCTGACAGTTACTATTCACACAGATAATAAAAATACAAGTTGTTTTTACTCCCATATATTTGTGTATTTTACTATTAGTTTATTTCAACAAGAACACATTGTGTTAGATTAAACAATTACAATATTGTTCTATTTAACTCTCTTGGGTCATTCCTTAAAAAAAGGAAAATATCAAATTTTTACGAATGTACAAATGAATATTTTTGGCTCACAGTTACAAATGACTCCAGAATCGTGGGAATGTTGGCAGTTATGTGTTCCCCATCCACCTGTCCTACAGTTCATCAGTGAAGACTCAGTGCCAGTACAATTCACATCATCCATCCATATTGGTCCTGATCCCTGGCCGAAATAAGCAGCACCCTTTGCCTCGATCACATCCCCACAGCCCATCTCTCTACACACCACTGCAGCGTCTGATAGATTCCAGCCATCATCACACACTGTTCCCCACGTTTCATTATAAAGAACCTCCACTCTTCCAGAACAAGAGTTGTCACCATTTATCAACCTGACAGTTACTATTCACACAGATAATAAAAATACAAGTTGTTTTTACTCCCATATCATTGTGTATTTTACTATTAGCTTATTTCAACAAGAACACATTGTGTTAGATTAAACAATTACAATATTGTTCTATTTAACTCTCTTGGGTCATTCCTTAAAAAAGGAAAATATGCAATTTTTACGAATGTACAAATTAATATTTTTGGCTCACCGTTACAAATGACTCCAGAATCGTGGGAATGTTGGCAGTTATGTGTTCCCCATCCACCTGTCCTACAGTTCATCAGTGAAGACTCAGTGCCAGTACAATTCACATCATCCATCCATATTGGTCCTGATCCCTGGCCGAAATAAGCAGCACCCTTTGCCTCTATCACATTCCCACAACCCATCTCTCTACACACCACTGCAGCGTCTGATAGATCCCAGCCATCATCACACACTGTTCCCCACTGACCATCACGAAGAACCTCCACTCGTCCAGAACAAGAGTCAATGCCATTCATCAGTCTGATTTTGTCTGTACTAGTGGGAATTGTAAAACCTTTGCATGCAATAGAGTCAAAGATGCAGATTATTAATATTTAATTTTACTTATAGTTCTGAGACATTTATTGCTTTTATTGTGCTGAAAATATAACAAAATTTGTGACCAAGATTTGTTTCAGTGTATAGCATAATGCTCTTACCCAGAAGCAGAAAGAGTTGCATGAACCACAGCATAGCAGCTAGAAATATATTAGATATGATATATTATTCATGTTGAATCTTCACACAAAACATTCATTGCTTTGTCTTATGTCCTACACTACTTTCTGAATGAATAATAATATGAATCTATTGTATTCAGCCTATAAGGTTTCAAAGCATTTTTTACAGTGTAGACAAATAACTAAAAATTCTAAACACCTACTGTAAGATAATTTTCTAATTGTATAAGTGAGTTTTTCTAATTGTGTTTAGTCATATTGTAATCAAATATATATTATATTATAACAATATAAATATGATTTATATGTTAATACCTGCTAAATGGTTCTCTTCTTCGTCTGTCTGTTTGAAACGTGCTGTGTATATGTGACATGTACTTGTGTTTTTCTGACTGCTTTATCTTCATGCCATATATGCTACAGTTTTATGTAAAATAGATATCATATTTGTTAAACAAAATTTCTTTGGAATTCACGTGTGGTTTGCTGCATGAAAGATTGGATGTGTGCCTAATTTGTTTAACAGGAAAATATGAGATGAAACAAAGAGCCTTTGTTTGTGGAAGCTTGTTACTTTCGAAAGTCATTGTCATACTAGTGTACCCCCCCGGGGTCCTACTCGCACCCGCTCCAAGCAGGACTTGGAAGGTGGGCGCACTGGGTCGTTGGAATGGGAGGTGGGCGCACTAACAAGGAGGCTGAAGACTGCAGCCCATAGTGTCAGTGTAGTGCGCCTCTTTAGATCAGGGGAGTGAGGTTAACCTGCACAGCACCTACCCGCTGGCCTCCGTTACGCTAGCACTAGGTGAAGTAAACAAAAACCTTTTTTCTCTTCTTCCACAATAAGAAGAGTGATAAAAAACGGTTTTGTTGAAAAGTAATTTCTGTAAACATTTTATCAGAGCACTAATGATCCAATCAGCAGCAATTAAATCCTCCATGTGTATCTTTTGTTGATGTTTTGCATCTTTTATTGCATGTCTCCATTAACTGCAGTTTTTTAAATCTTTCAGGTGCCATTGTTTTATTTTGTCAGACAATGAAGTAGAGAAAGCAGGGATCATTGTACAACTTCCTGCTGCTTGAGTATTTATTCAGAAAATGGTTTGCCTAAAGCTTTGATATGTAAATAAAACTATATGTAAACACAGCAAACAGGACAAACAAGTTCATGTTGCACATTCATCTTTAAATTATTTCTTTTATTATTATTTTATTTTTGTGTATTTATTTATTTATTTTAGACACAATTTAAATGAGCACCACTATTTGTCAATTTGACCCCAACACAAAAGTTGTACCCTGTTTTTAAACAGGAGGGTTAAGAATTATGTCATTCACATACCATTTTTCCTAACAAATGCAATGACAAGGTGCCATTATGACAAATCATTCTTCTTTCTCAATGTATTACTTTAAAGAAACTGTGAGAAAAATTGTAGTGAGGATTGTGGGGAAAGCCAAGACTGGTGTCAGTGTGAATGATCCACAAATCAAGAATATCCTTCTGGAAAAGGTAAGGTTCATGTTAACTTTTATCAAACAATCTTTGCAATAAAAATAGTTCATTCAAAGTTTAAAATTTTGATGAAGTAAAATGTCAAAAGGAATGTTCAGTAAGTGTACTCAGTCTGGCTTGGGTGTTTTCTTAATAAAAATTTCATCAAATTTCACAGATTAGAAATGTGGTTGGAAGTAAAGCGACGTATAAAGTGAAATGGAGAACACAGCCTGATGAGCAGGTATTCCACCAGCAGAGAACAGCCACAGGTTTGTAAAAGGAGGTGTTGGACTATCTTTTCAAAATACTGTATATGTAAACCTTTATGTATTATTGATTTAAATTATAAACCTGTTATATTCACAGGTCTTTTTTGAATGACAGACTCTAATCCTAATTATAATCAGAATCCGAATCAGAATGAGATTTATTCACCAAGTGTGGGCAAACACACAAGGAATTTGTTGTGGTGTCCAGGAGCTCTGCGTACATACATATATAGCACAGGAAAAAAGAAAGAACATTTAAATAAAATTAAGAAAAATAAACAATAAATGAAATACAATAAAGCACATCAAGATCAATAGGTTTATGTATAGGTGTGGGCAGTTATGTACTGTATATATGACTGTATATGTGCAAAAGTATGCATTTACATAGTAAGTATAATGACATTACACTAATCTTTCAGTTACTTCACTCTACATACAATACTGAATGTGTCAGGAACTGTGTCGGAGGGGATGACGCAGAGACATGGATCAAGGAACAGGCTTTAATGCAATCCAGAACACAGCTAGGGGATAGCCACAACAAGGAATGGCTAGTGACACATGAACATGACGATTTGAGACCCGACAAACACAGACAGCACAGACTGGGATTTAAATGCACGGGGAAACGAGATTAACGGGAAACAATTAACAAGACACACCTGAACTAAATGACATGATTAACAAGAGGGAAAACTAGGTCACGGAGAGCACATGGGGAGAGAAACACACACAGACAGTCCAGGAGTGTGACAGTTCGCCCCCGTCCCGGAAGGCGCGTCCTCGTGCCACTGGAACACCAAAGGGAGGGACGGAGGGGAACTCAGGAGGAGGTTTAGGTGGAGGACAGCAAACAGAGTCCAGGGAGGAGACAGGGCGGACCAGATGGAGGGAGGAGCCAGGGCGGACCAGATGAAGGGAGGGGCCAGGGAGGAGACAGGAGGAGCCAGGGTGGACCAGACGGAGGGAGGAGCCAGGGAGGAGACAAGAGGGACTTGGAGCAGTCGGAGCCAGGTGGGACCCAGGCCACAGCCGTGAAGGCGACCCACGGTGGAGCCAATGGAGGGAGGAGCCATGGAGAAGGAAGGGCTGACGACTCCAGGGGGCCGACCTATGGCGGCGGAGCAGCTGGAGGAGCCTGAGGCAGAGACGAAGAGCCGATGAGCCAGGGCGACAGGGAGGATCCGGAGGGCTAAGACAGAGCAAATGGCTCAGGTGACCAAGGCGGACGCGGGGATTCAGAAGGCCGCGGTGGAGCCGGAGCAATCGGACCGAGGAGGAGCCAAAGGGAAGGAGGAGCCTGACAGAGCCAGAGGGACGGAGGGACGAGGCGCAGCCGGAGGAGTGGAGTCCCGAGGCGACGGATGTTCGACGACAGACCAAGGCGGAGCCGGAGGGAGCTGGTGGACTGCCGGGCCACGTCGGAGAGGAGGGAGCTAGGGGCCATGGTGGAGCCGCTGGGTCGATGGGCTGAGGCGGAGTCTGGGAGAGGCTGGAGGCGGAGACAAGGGATTCTCCAGCCATGCTGATGATGGAGACTGGCAGACCCGCTGTGCTCGCACCGAACAGATGGTAGGCTGAGGGTGAGCAGAGGGGCTGCCAGACGACAGTGGTGGAGGAGGCAGGAGCGGGAGGGTGCGTGTGCATTTCTGAGCCTCCGGGCTCTCAGGGCTGGTGTGCGCTGCCCACACACACCAAATCGCGACTCCCAGCACTGGGAGCGCGTCACACATGGAAACGACAGGGCTGGCAGACAGTTCAGGGCAGAATGGTAAGTCCGAGGAAGGTGGGAGGAGAATGGGCATGTCCGCATATATATCTGCCTCCCAGTCTATTAGGTCCCCTTCAAAGTTCAGCAGTCCCAGATACACAATAAGCTCACCCTCAGCCATGGTGCAGTGGGCGGAGCTTCTCTCCGTGCTCTCGCTGTCCACGGCTTTTTCCCTCGTGGCGGGCGTTGTAGCCGGCTCTCGCACCTGGTCTGACGTCACTAGCAGCTCCGGCTCCACGCCGATCTTCAGCTCTGTCGCTCCGTGTGGCGAAGGCTCGTCGGTCACGGCGGGCTCGGACACTCCGCCAAAGTCCCTTTAAGACAAGTCATGTCACTCGGCAGCCATCTTTGAAACGCCTCACGGGCATGCAAGTGCAACTCCTATCTCTTTGAATGGGGAAACATCAAATTCTGCAAAACTGTTCACTAAGCTTGCGATTAAATTTCATATTTGAAATCACCAAAGAAATCTGATATCAACTGTGTCATAAATGTTGTTTATTTTGCTCAAATAGCCTTATAAAAAGCTTATTATTCAGGCTAGATCAGCCAGTGCGCATGTGCAGTCCTGAGTGCATGTCTCAAAACGCTGACTTCTAACGGCAGCTGCAGTGATGCGCTGACTTTGCCGATTAGCTATTGGCTCCTTCATCCAGAAGGTGGGGCTTCCTGTGATTGCGCGGCCATATTGAGCGTTGCATTTTTCCCCATTCAAAACTATACGAGTGACACGTCTTGGGTATTCTATAGTCTTTGGCTCCACGCAGCGGGGTGATGGGGGTCTGGGCTCTGGGTCTGGCTGTGCTCTGGATCGGGGCCGGACGCTCTCCAGACACCGGATGATCGCCTCCCTCCAGCTCAGTCCAGTGGTGTCTGGGAGGTCAACGGGGCGATAATTTGCCCCGATCCAGAACAGTGAGTTCAGCGCAGCGGCGAGCTGGCTGAACTCAACAGCATACTCCAAGATGGGAAGGTCCTTACGGGCTAGGGCAGTGAATTTAGCGGCGAGGTGATCCATAGGGGGAAAAAACACTGTACAAAATGCGGAAAACAAACGGAGGGGAACACGCAATACTTCTTTTTGTCGTTCGGGTCTTCTGTCAGGAACTGTTTCGGAGGGAACGACGCGGAGGCGTGGATCAAGGAACAGGCTTTAATGCAATCCAGAACACGGGATATCCACAACAAGGAATGGCTGGTGACACACGAACATGACGATTTGAGACCCGACAAACACAAACAGTACAGACTGGGATCTAAGACAGACAGTCCAGGGGATGACAGAATATTGTATAGGCTATATGGAAAATAAATGTGTTATATAATGTACTGGTGCACAGTCAGGAAGAGAGAAAGTCCAAGAGTTTTTTGTTTTTTGAAATCTGCTTTACTCAGGATAAATTTGTTTATGTATAGAAATGTAACACCAAATAAATTAATACACAGTTAAAGGGATAGTTCACTGAATGAATGAAATGAAAATCTGTCATCATTTACTCACCCTCATGTCATTCCAAACGACATGTATACATTTCTTATGTTGCACACAAAATAGGATATTTTGAAGAATTTTGAAGGACCAAACAGTTGTTGGTCGCCATTGACTTCCATAGTAGGGAAATAAATACTATGGAAGTCAATGGGGACCATCAGCTGTTTGGCTACCAGCAATCTTCGACACAATTTAAATTTTTGGGTGAACTATCCCTTTAAGCAAATTTTCTCACTTATTTTAAGAGGTTGATGTATAAATATATTAAATATATTAAATCAAAAAGCAAATAAACATTTAACATGTAACGAAAATCAGTTTTACATTTTTATTTTTCTTTCACAGAGGATCTTTGTGGCCAAAACCTGCATGCCTTCAATTGATATTTTGTTTCTGCTGTTTACTTTGTTTTGGGTGCTCTGATTTTTTTCGTCACACAATGAACAGGGAAAGCAGGGACCATTGTAAAACTTCTTTGTGTTTGATTATTTATTCAGAAAATGTTTTGCCTAAAGCTTTGAAATGTCAGTTGTGTATCACACTATATATATAAACACAGCAAACAGGACAAACAAGCACATTTGCACATTCATATTTAAAATAATTTTAAATATTTGAACGCATACCAATTTTAAATGCATACCATTATAAATGTTTCTTCATGATGGTCAGTGGGGAAGGGTGTGTGATGATGACTGGGATCTAACAGACGCTGCAGTGGTGTGTTGCATTTTTTATATTAAAGTTTAATAAATCTGTAAAAAATGTATTGCTCATTTTAATTTATATTTTTTAATGCATTAACTAACATTAACTAATGGGCTCTTACTATAAATTGTTACCATCGCATTCAAAATGTATTTTTGTTGAACTATTATTTGAAGTCAATAAAGTTTGGTTTAGCCAAAAAGTAAAACAAATTTACATGTATGCAAATTCAAAATTGATGATGCTGGAATAATAGATTGCTAAAGCACAGTTGTTCATTCATAAAATGGCACTTCTGTTTCTGTAAATAGAACAGACAATTGTATAATTGAGTGTTGTTTTTTTTCAGTCGTATTTAGTCCTTTGTAATCAAATATATTTTACAGTGTCCAAAGTAGCCGATTTTTCACAATAACCCTTCTTATAATATATTATCTATATAAGCATAGCTAGCTATAAAATATATAATTAAATAAATAAAAAAATATGATTTCTGTGTTATTAATACCTGCTAAATGGTTCTCTTCTTTATCTCAGATTGAGTCTGTTTGAGATGTGCTGTGGACATGTGACAGTTTTATGGTCTGCTTTTCCCTCATGTATGTTACATTTATATTCAAATACAGTAGATCATATTTGTTAAACAAAATTTTACCTCAGAATTCATGTACATTTTATCAAAGAAGTTTGCAGGCTGTATGTTTAATTTGTTAACCAGGAAAACTTCAAATTAAACATTGACTTGTCTATGGAACCTTGTTATGTGTGGAAGTTTAAGGTGCAGTTAATCAATGTGGCAACCACTACAGATTATCCAGGCAGGACAATAAATTACTCGGTCCATGTCCACAATAAACTTATTTACCGTTCCCATTTGAATCATACATCAGTATGAGAGTGTTTTTTCAAAATGTACGCACACTGTATGAAGAAATATCCGATTGAAATTAGACCAGAACAGCACAGAGGTCAATAAAAAACTGACAGTTCTGCTGCCTTAAAGGGGTCATATGATGTTGCTAAAAAGAACATTATTTTGTGTATTTGGTGTAATGAAGCTTTCAGAACGAAACACACAGTGTCACACAGGGCGGGCTTGAGTGAGCGAGGCCGGCGGGCTAGAGTGAGGAACGGCCAGCGGGCTTGAGAACGGCGCGGCCGGCGGGTTTGCAGCAACCACGTGTGAAGACCCCGGGCTGGACTCCGCTTCGTCCACAGTGAAAGCCGATCCGGCGATCCACAGCGTGAAGTTGATGTATTTCCTCAGCGACCAGCACGGATCAGCTCTAGGCATGACGAAGCAGATATCGTCCTCTTTTGGAAGACCAAACAAAGTAGTTTCGCTTTCACAACGAAACACACAGCGCCTTCACGACATGGCGGCAGCAACAATACTACAGCGAAAAATAAAAGTTACGCCTTCTTTCTTTGCGTGAACATTTGGACGGTGTTATGCAAATCTTCCCACATCGTGACGTAGATATGTGCCGTTTTAGGTAGGCGTGGTTGACTCTAAACTTTTATAAAGAATATCTCTTTGGATTTGAGACTTTAGTTTTTGCAACTTTACAGATCTTCTTTATACACCAAGAGCTTTTAACACTCCAAAGAGAAAGGAAAAATTGAAATCACATCATATGACCCCTTTAAACTAAAGAAATTACAGAAATAATGGTCATGTGATTCAGAGATATATATAAACGTGACAAATTAAAGTGTCCAATAGGTGGCACCAGCATCATTAAAATTAGGCCTTTTGTACAGCCACCCCTAAATTTGTTTAACAAATTTGTAAATAAAGAAAGGCCTGTTCGTCTTCGTTGTTGTCATCAGGTAGGGCAGGCAGTCTGGTTGGGCGAGCTACAGGCCTTGTGTAACTTCTGTCTTTGACATTCACTACAACTGTACAAATTCGCCCATCTAATCCCGGAAAGACCTTGGCTATAGTAGTATAGTATAGTTTTTAGATTCTCTGCCATTTTTCCCTTCATTGCAGGTCTGGGAGGTAATGCTTTATGAAACATTTCCTGAAGTTTTCAATTAAAATATGGCTATGCTGCCATCTTTTGAAACTGAGCATTTCTGATTCTGGGTAAACAACTTATAATGCAGAAGTGGGATGTTCCATGAGGAGAGAATTAGGTGTTACGGGGTTAGCATCGGCTGTGTGTGAGGAAATATTTCCCAGTGGTCTGGAGTTTATTATTCCCTCCATTTCCACATGTTCATTGTTCAGCACTTCGTCTGACACCGATTGAGAACCAAGAGATGTATGCAGTGCTGTCTTGATAGATTTAACCACACTCTCCCATGATCCTCCTAAATTTGGTGCATTTGATGGGTTCAGATGGAAATGGATATGTTGGGAAGCTGATGCTCTTTTAAGGTTGGGTGAAGTGCAATGAAGGCATTCTAAAGTTCTGTGTTACCTCCCTTTAAATTCGTTCCATGTTCTGAAAGCGGTTCATATGGTTTCCCTCTGCAAGCTATAAACCGTCTTAGTGACATGAGAAAGGAGTCTGTGTCGATGCTCGAAAGGAGTTCAACATGACATCTTTGGTAGTAAGGCATTTGTACAATATCCCCCAGCGTTTTTCACATCTGCAACCTAACTTAACTTGAAAGGGGCCAAAACAATCAATACTGTTGAATAGAAGGCAGGATGGAAGAGTCTATGGTTAGACTGGGGATGATCAGCCATCATAGGAATTTCTGAGCAGTCATGGCCTAATGGTTAGAGACTTGTAACCCGAAGGTTGCAGGTTCGAGTCTCAGGTCCAGCAGGAATTGTCGGTGGGGGGAGTGAATGTACAGCGCTCTCTACCACCTTAATACCACGACTGAGGTGAGACCCCTCAGCAAGGCACCAAACCCTCAACTGCTCCCCAGGCGCCGCAGCAATATGGCTGCCCACTGTTCCGTGTGTGTGTTCACTACTGTTTGTGTGCACTTGGATGGGTTAAATGCAGAGCACAAATTCCACGAATGGGTGACCATACTTGGCCACACGTCACTTCACTTCACTCACTTCCTGGTTTCCCTTGTCACTTTTTACATTCATAGCAGCTGTGTTGGTGTTTTTTCACTGCTTCTCTGCCTCTTTCAATCCAATATTTCCATTTCAGTTCTGCGAACACACACTCAGGTCCTGGATGTATGTATGTACTGTATGTATGTATGAATGTTGAATCAGAACCTTTGTAAGAGGTTGAGCTGGATCTAAGCCAAATGGGTTAAGCATGTTTGAGTCCAAGTGATCACATCTGCAGAGGCGTCCACCTACCCTGATTAATTTGGCTTCATGGTCATACTCTGGAGCTAGAGTGAATAGATGACTAAAGTTAGATACAGGTTTACCTAACCAGAGTTAGGCTGTTTCTTCTGGGAAGCTTTCAATTTGAGCATGTCTCAGAAGTTCCTGTTCAGCTTGTGAATAGTCATTAGCAGAGAGTTCACTTTTTTCCACCACCCCATGAAGGGAAATAGCAGTATCTTAAATCAGATCTTGAAGTGAGTTGTACTGAGTAATATCTTGGACAGGTATGGGCAGTATTTCAAATACATGTATTTAAAATACGTATTTGAAATACAAAATACTATTTTGTATTTTGTATTTGAAAGCCTTCGGCAAAAATCAAATGTAATTTATATTTAAATACATTTAAGATTAGTATTTTTGTATTTTCAAAATACATAAAATACTTTGTGCCAGTCAACCTCTTTATCAGGGTGCTGATTTAGTTCAGACACACCCCCTCCCCCAACCCCAACATTCATCACGTGAGCTGCAGCTGTACAACTCCATTCAGCATTGGGTGAGTGACTTTTCTGGAATAAGATAAGGTGGGGATGTCATGGTCAATTGTACATGTTGATTAAAGTTAAAATAGTGCATCATTCAGATTTGCCGTCAGTTAACATGAAAGAATAAAAGAGCACTGACAAGGGGAAAAATAGCGTTAGCCAATCAGTTTGGATGAATGAGTAATAGAATGTGATGTGCTTGGTGCAATTGCACTTATTATAAGTGTATATGTGTATGTCCTTTACATTTTGATGTATCTTTGCCCATCCCTGATCTTGGATATCAGTGCGACTAGAGGATATCGCTCCACAGAAAGTAGAACTGCGGCATTCTTGGATGTCATCGCATACAACATCATCTGTTGGGCCAGTTACTAACCGGCTGAGTTAACAATTGTGGACGTTGATTCCATTGGGTTTGCACTGAGAGTTTAGAGAGAGTGAGTCCCCTAATATCATCTGCTGGGTTCAACTCTGAATTGATATAACACCAGGCTTTTGGGTAAGGTCTTGTATCTCAACCAGACGTTCCGACAAACACCTTGTAGTTGCATGAGTCAGACTGAAGCCAAGTCAATACAGATGTGGAGTCAGTCCAGTATAGTTCTTGATCAATCTTGATGGTCAGTTCTTTTCTCAAAGTTGCAGCCAGCTGAGTGCCAGTGAGGGCAGCAGAGTTCGAGGCATGGTATATAGACTGTTGTCGCTTGACTGTTGTCTCGATCTTATGTGCAGCAATGAATGAAACTTGGGTCTTGCCACGTTTATCACATGTGCGGAGATATGCGACTGATCCGTAAGCACTTTCTGATGCATCACAAAATATAGGAATAGTGTGTTGACTGGCATGATTGGTCAGCATTTGCAATGGTGTAACATCTTAGGAACGTGAAATAGGGTAGTTGTGATAGTTCACTCAGCCAGGGTAACCAGGCCTGAAGCAGATCTTTGGGAAGATCTGGGTCATCCCATTCCTGCTTTGGATATTGATTTTGGATCTTGTTGTGAATGGAATTAAGAAGCCTAACGATCATACTGGCTCGCAAGGGTTCTGTAAATGTTCCCCATTGTTGGTACAGAATTTTCTTGTTGTTTGTGTCTGTAACCGAGAACATCTGAAGAGCACAGCTCAGCTGACCTTCAGAAGCACTTTACTGCTTGCAGTTGACCTGTCCTTTCGCTCCAAGTTGGTCCAGCACTTTGAGGGCATATAGTCAGAAAGATTTAATGTCGCCACTCTTGGTTTTTGGGCCATCCATCAATTCTGCAATTCTTTATATTGCGAGTTGATGTGGTTGGCCATAAAGTGCAGTCAGAGACCTCATAGTGTTGGTATATGGATACCTGCTGATGTTGCTGTTGACAAATTACTCTGCAATGAGCAAGGCATTCTCTTGTTTCAGATGATCAATCAGTATTTGGAATTTAAAAACGTTCTGTAGCCTAAGCAGGTAGCAAATTCTCCAGTGCAATTTTCAGTCGTGCAAACTCTTTAGGATCCTCACTACAGAAATTAGGAATAGTGGGGATTGGAACTTGGTAGGAAGGCTGGACGTACGGATACTGTTTACTTACATTCATTCATTCTTTTTTTTTTTTTTTTTTTTTTTTTTCCCGGGCCCATACCAGGAATTTTAATAACCCAATTAATTTGAGAAAAGCAGTCCTATTAGTGTCCTCCATCCCCTCATCTTTCAGTCCTCCAAAATATATCAGTGTGAACCTTGGTGCAATTAAATACAGAACTTATAAAGTAAATTATTTCTAATTTCTCTCAGGTCTTTACTAAACTGGAGGATATTTGTGTAATACATTCAGTGCATGAGCTCGAAAAACAGATGACCTCTGGGCAATTTTTGTGTGACAAAAGAGGGAATTGTTTTATCTCAAATGCTACAAAGCTAGAAATGACAAATGTTATGGTTTGGATCCAGGCCCTCTGAATGTGCTGGCTTGAAATCTGCAGTGGAAGGCCTAAAATATATGCAGTTGTAGTTCAGACTTATTGTGTGAAAAAAAATAATAAGTCCATAGCTGTTACAATTAATATTACATGGGTCAATTCACAGGCCATTTTCTGTGACATCCTCATTTAGTGGTTAATGCCTTGATGATTTTGATAGACATTTTGATTGTTGTTTTTGAAAACATAGCACCAGTTGTGTGTTTTGGATCTGTTATGTTTAAAACTGGGTATTTGTATTAATTAGAATATAATTTAACAGCAAATGAATTTATGTTAGTGTTTTTTTTTTTTTTTTTTTTTTGTATCTTCCAGGTGCCATAGATTTATTTCGTTACACCATGAACATGGAAAGCAGGGACCATTGTAAAACTTCCTTGTGCTTATTTATTCAGAAAAAAAGTTTTGCCTAAAGCTTTGAAATGTCAGTTGTGTATTGCAATACATGTAAACACATCAAACAGGACAAACAGGTTCATGTTTCAAATAATTTTTTGTAAGAGACTCAATTTAAATGCACACCACTATAAATGTAAATATTGTCACCATCTTAATTTTTCAGGTTAGTTTGTTTGTAAAATGCGGTTGTCACTTCTATAAATAAATATATTCACCTTTAAATGATAATGTATGTGTTGTGTATGGAAATCAATCATTTTATACAATTAATGGTAGGGTCAGATTTACTTGTAGTCAAACATGAAAGCTGTGTGATTAATGTATCAATGTATATACTATCGCACATTAATCCAAATATATAGCAGCAAACAAAGGGTTTATACGTTTTTCTCACAATATAGAGGATTTTTATTATTTTTCCTAACTTTCTGAAACACTTCTCCATTAGATTGCATCCTCCATCGTAGGGTAAAAGTTCCAGAATCTTTCAATATCTCTTTTATCTGTGAAAATAATAAGGAAAAATATACTAAATAAAAAAAATAACAGTAGATGCACAGCTACAATGTGACATGAGTTGTTGTTCTCTGTGACCTTTTATCATGCGCTCACCTTTTCCAAAATCTCCATCTTTTTTCTTTTGTCATTTTGGTCAGTTTTTGGATCAACATTAAATTTAAGCCTCATGACTGTCTTTTTCCTGATTTCTGAAAAAAGATTTTTAAAGATGTAAATGCTGGAACCGTTTCAGTGAACCTAAACATAACAATAGCAAACATGTAGGAATGAAGGACCGATTCAACAGTATAATGGGGAGTTTTCCTAAGCTGTAACCTATTTTTGCACATTACATTATAGGTACAGCAGCAGTAATGATGTTTCTATTAATTATGGATTCATGAAACATGGAGGTTTTGTGTTTTGTTGTACAATTTGATTTGCCAGATGAAGTTGCTTTATAGTGTAGATGTTGCTATGTGTGTGACTGAAATTAAAACATAATACATTCCAGCTGAAATTACACTGATCTGCTGCCACTCCTTGTGTAAATGTGCTGAAAATTCAAATGTGGTAGTTGCTCAGGAAGGCAAATCTTTTGACTTACGTTTACAGATGACTCCAGCATCTTGTTGATGGTTACAGTTGTATATTCCCCATCCATTTGATGAACAGGTTTTCAGTCTAGATTCATTCCCAGCACATTGTACATCATCCATCCATATTGGTCCTGATCCCTGGCCAAAATACGCAGCACTTTTTGCCTCTATAGCATCCCCACAACCCGTCTCTCTACACACCACTGCAGCGTCTGATAGATCCCAGCCATCATCACACACTGTTCCCCACTGACCGTCATGAAGAACCTCCACTCTTCCAGAACAAAAGTCATTGCCATTCACCAACCTGACAGCTATTATCCACACAAATAATAGAAAGACACAAGTTGTTGTTATATGTAATGCGTTTGTATACCTTACTATGTCTTGTAATTGAAAAAGGCCAATGAAATATGGCATTTGAAAGACGTTTTCTTAATATTTCTTTTGTTACCTTAAAAAAGAAAATGTACAATATAAAATTTGTCAATTGTTGACTCACAGCTGCAGATGACTCCAGCATCTTCAAAATGTCTACAGTCATTTATTCCACTTGTCCTACAGTTAATCAGTGAGGACTCCGTGCCAGCGCAATTTACATCATCCATCCATATTGGTCCTGATCCTTGTCCAAAATAAGCTTCACTCTTTGTTTCAATCACATTCCCACAGCCAATCTCTCTACACACCACTGCAGCGTTTGTTAGATCCCAGCCATCATCACACACTGTTCCCCACTGACCGCCACGAAGAACCTCCACTCGTCCAGAGCACTTGTTGTCTCCATTCACCAACCTGACAGCTATTATCCACACATAATGTCAATTCTATTGCATTTATTTTAAAATAAATTTTAAATTCTCTGAATATTTTTGACTCACACTGGCAGATGACTCCAGCATCGTGTTGATGGTTACAGTTGTGTATTCCCCATCCATTTGAAGAACAGCTTTTCAGGGTAAATTCATTTCCAGTACATTGTACATCATCCATCCATATCGTTCCTGATCCCTGGCCAAAAGAAGCAGCACTCTTCGCCTCGATCACATCCCCACAGCCCATCTCTCTACACACCACTGCAGCATCTGTTAGATCCCAGCCATCATCACACACTGTTCCCCATATTCCATTATAAAGAACCTCCACTCTTCCAGAACAAGAGTTGATGCCATTCACCAACCTGACAGCTGTTATCCACACAAATAATATATAAAAAAAAAAAAAAAAAAGTTTTTGTCTTAAATATATTTATGTACCTAAAAATCTATTTCTTTTGGAGAAAAAGGCATGGCATTTGAAAAAAAACAAACTTTTTTTAAATTAATTTATTTTATTTAGTACATTCCATAAAAAGAAAATGTGCGATATTAATACTTCAGTTCTTTGATTGTTTTTTACTCACAGTTGCAGATGACTCCAGCATCTTCATGATGTCCACAGTTATGTGTTCCCCATCCATTTGTCTTACAGTTCTTCAGTGAGGACTCCGTGCCATCACAGTTTACATCATCCATCCATATTTGTCCTGATCCTTGTCCAAAATAAGCAACACTCTTTGCCTCGATCGCATCCCCACAGCCCATCTCTCTACACACCACTGCAGCGTCTTTTAGATCCCAGCCATCATCACACACTGTTCCCCATATTCCATTATAAAGAACCTCCACTCGTCCAGAACAAGAGTCTCCATTGACCAATCTGATTCCAGTAGTGACATTTATGGAGCCTGCATGTTAGATCGCCACACAGATGCACATTGATTTTTATATGAGCCCTTAATTCAAAAGATATTATTGGCACAACGACAGATAAACAACAAAGTTTTGTGTCAGTGCATCGGTCTCCTTACCCAGAAGCAAAAAGAGTTGCATGGACCACATCATATTGGCTGCAAATAAATTTCATATGACATTAGATATGAAATACTCCTTGGTTTATCGTCTCTAGAATTTTCATACAAAGCATTTTAGCTTCATCTTGCTGCTCTTATTTATAAAGAGATGTACATGCATTTGAAAGCAAATTCAGTGTGGTTCTATTATTAGCAATCATGAATGAATGCATGAAAGAAATTTAGTATTTAAGCATTTTCAATAGTACTAATGTATCATGTGTTTTTATTTTATTGTTGAATTTCATATAATAGGCAGTAAGCATTTAAAATAAAAAAAGTTACAAGTATGGACTCAGTGTAGAGACAAACAATATTATTAAAAGTAAGTTAAAAAGTTTGTCAAGACAAATTTTATGTCCACTTGAGAATGCTTAAAAAGTAGTTTGAAGATTTTAAGTGTCACATAATTTTACGTTTGATGCCGTTTTAAGTTTTAAATAAATAATATTTGAAACACACCCCCTATAATCTCACTTGAACAAAACGTAATGTATGCTAAATGCATAAGAAAACACTCATTATATGTATGTGCAAATGTTTTTAAGGTAATACCTGGCTAGATCTTCTGTAGCTTCTTCTTATGGGATTTAGGTACGTAGTCTATTTAAACTGGACGTGTGCCAGTTACGTGGGCTGCTTTCCTCTTATTTGACCACAGCTACTATTCAGCATGAACACCATCAAAACTGATTCATATAAATGTGAATTTACACATGCGTGTGAATTTTTATCTGCCACGTAAGTAATACTGAAATCCACATTTGATAAACAAAACATCTAGGAATTCAAACATGTTTTGCTGAATTCTACAGTGCTGCACATATTCAAATTATTATTTCAACCTGAACAATATGCAAACCTCCCATTCTAATTCTCTTAAGGGAAATTCTGTAGAACGTAATTTGTTTACAGGGACATAAAATTAGCTTATTGGAAGTTACTGACAACAAGCTTATCTCCTCATCAATATTTGATCATGAATATCTGAGCTTTTTGACTTGTTGTGTGAATGTGTTGTTAACCTAATGTATATTCCATACCTGAAATGTGAAGGAACTGTTTTTATTGCATCTCGTAGATATAAGTTTAACTCTGAGATGTAATAGAAACAGTTTCTTCACATTTTGGCTATGGAAAATTCCAATTCAGTACTTTGTCTCATGCATAAGAACCTCACTGGCGTGATGGGTTGGCCAGTGCGTTCATGTAAACTCAAACAAATCTAGAGTTCTAGCGTTCGTGAATGTTGACATTTTTTTCCCCATGTAGTTTACATGTCTTTGCAAATTTGTAAAGGGAGTTTCATGATACTGACAGATCTTCTCTTAACAGCTATATGAGTATGGTTTCCACTAACTTCCCATTCCCATATTTCACATTTGAGTGGATTTGCATTGAAATCAAATCACATCATGAAAACACATGTTAAATGTTGTTCAAACATCCAATGGTGCATCCAACAATATATCACAGACAAGAAATGTATTCTTGGTTTCGTGTCTGTCAATTTAATCAAACACTTTCAGAGCATTTAATGGGTTTGCATTCTGAAAGATGAACTGCTTGATAGTAAGAGCTTTCTTTCTGACATTAATCGTTGTCTTGTAAGGTCATCTGAGGGGAGGAGCCAAGACATCAGCTGATCCTACATCTAAATAAAATCACCTGGAAACCTCCTTAACTTGATCTCATGCCGTGACAGAGACAAAGACGCTTCTGAAGAGACTGACATATTAACAGGTTAAAGAAATCTAATAATAAATCATTGCCTTTAGTTTACAGATTTTATTAGGTACTGTATTTTGCACTGTATGCTTTTATTAGACATAGTATTTTATTAGATACTGACAGTATTCGTAATTATTTCTGGTGTAGTTGATTTTGATTGCTTACCAGCTCTTGAACTTTCCCTCTCTCACTCTTTTTTTAATTAATTGCATAATTTGTAGTTACTGAATTATGGAATTGAACTCTGAATTAGTATGCACAATACAAATAGGGTAAAATATGGTTTCTGGTTGCAAAAAATAAATGTAAAGACATTTTGTGCCAAAAATGTGCAGAAACTACTTTTAAGCAATAAAAATGTACAGTGAAGTTGCTTTTTTCTGATTTCTGACATAACACAGTCAAAATAATAATTCTGTACTTCTTTCAGGGCACAATGTTAAATTCCTTGTGGCTCATTCTCATATTGGGTATGAAGAATCATGCAGGCATTGTTTTCTATGTTTCTATATCATAAAGTACTCTTGAATTACTCATTACTTATTGAAGTATAAGCACATCCATTACATGTTTTATAATTCATACAGATTTTGGAAATGGACCTCCAGTCGAAGCTTTTCTGAGGTTGATGAATGGTGTCGGATTTTGTTCTGGACGAGTGGAGGTTCTTTATAATGGAATATGGGGAACAGTGTGTGACGATGGCTGGGATCTAACAGACGCTGCAGTGGTCTGTAGAGAGATGGGCTGTGGGAATGTGATCGAGGCAAAGAGTTTTGCTTATTTTGGACAAGGATCAGGACAAATATGGATGGATGATGTAAACTGTGATGGCACGGAGTCCTCACTGAAGAACTGTAATACAAATGGATGGGGAACACATAACTGTGTGAATTCTGAAGATGCTGGAGTCATCTGTGAAGGTGGATGAAAGCTACATAAATATTGCATATACTGAATAGAACCAAACTTTTCTAATCCCTTACTCTGTTTTTTTTTTTATGTTAGCCTTTATAAGGTTGGTAAATGGCACTAGCTCTTGTTCTGGACGAGTGGAGGTTCTTCATAACGGTCAGTGGGGAACAGTGTGTGATAATGGCTGGGGTCTAACAGACGCTGCAGTCGTATGTAAAGAGCTGGATTGTGGGAAAGTGATTGAGGCAAAGAGTGCTGCTTATTTTGGACCAGGTGTAGGACCAGTATGGATAGATGATGCACAGTGTACTGGGAGTGAGGCTTCACTGGTGAACTGTACATCAACAAAATGGGGAATACAGAGCTGTGAACATTTAAAGGACGCTGGAGTCACCTGTAACAGTGAGTTTAAAAAATCTTGGATGCATTTGGCATGTTGTTTTGAAACTAGAGTTCAGAGAAAAATTGTAATTCTGTTATTATTCATTATTCACCCATGTCATTCCAAACCATATGCTGTTGTTTTTATGTAAAACATAAAAGAATCTTTTCCAACAACAGTTCAAGATCAGAGAAGGACCAAAAAATCTGGCAAACGCTTTTATCCAAAGCGACTCACATTGCATTGGTAACACTTAATGATAAGCTTGCATTAACATTAAGTGCTATAGTAACTAACAATGAAAATATTTCTTACCATCTATTCATCTTAATGTCCATTCCAACATTTACTAAAACATTATTTAAAAAATCTAAAGTTGTATCTGTCAATAGTATTTAATGATCCTCAACTAACATGAACTAACAATGAATAGGGTTGGGTACCGAAACCCGGTACCAATATGCAAGGGTGTAACTTTGGTTTGAGAAGTGGGGGGGACACAAAATGGGGGAAAATGTTTTCGATTTGAATCCCATTTCCTGCATGTACATACATTTATGGACTATGGTGATACAAAATCCAGGAAATAATTAAGTTGATTAATGAACTCAAGTCGGAAAGCTCTAATAGTACAAATCCAACACATCTTTGTAGTAACGAGCGTGTCCACGTTGTTTTCACATTCCGACTTGAAAGCACAACTCGGGAAATGAGAGCATTCGAGGAGCGCGTGAATGCAGTAATTACACTTGCTCTGATGGCCCAGTGTTCAATAGATTAATATGCAATGATTAAAACAAAATTCAGGTGCCTCATTTCGGTGCCATGCCTGAGCGATCGATTGAAATATTTGTCCTCTGGTTCTCCGAAACGGACGTAAGAAGTATCATCACTGGCACCGCATGTGAAAAATAATTTCCCGACTGAGAAAATGCACGTAACTCAAGTCGGAAAGCTCTAATAATACAGATCCAACACATCTTTGTAGTAACGAGAGTGTCCATGTTGTTTTCACATTCCGACTTAAAAGCAGAACTCGGGAAACGAGAGCATCGAGGAGCGCGTGAATGCAGTAATTACACTTGCTCTGATGGCAGCAGGTAGCCTTCCGTTAACTAAGCTAAACATGCTTAAAGGCAGGGCCGTTTTAACCATTGGGCTAGGCGGGGCTGAAGCCCCGGGGCCCGAGTAAGGAGGGGGCCCGTGATTGGCTGTGGAGTGGATTGACTGGAGCGCCGCTCC